AAAATAACAGTATGAAAGTGAAAAATAATATTCACCGTGAGATTTCGAATGCTTTGCATGAATTTTGCTCAAAATCGTGTTTCGGTGAATTCCCAACTTTTTTGACGTTTTCGAAACGAATAAACCATTTTTAACTTCTGCGAAGCATTTTCCTAACGCTTTTTTGGTCTAATCACAATCATTTCTTGCTCCAGGCTTCCTTTTATATGTCCTTGGCACGTTTTTCTCTGGAAAAAAAAATTGCACAGAGTCACCCCTGGGTGCAATTTTTATTAATTATTAAATAACTAACATTATAATAATTAAAAACAAAAAATATGCATAATTTGTTATCTCAATTGATAAGACTTTTAAAGTATAACCTACCTTCCAGGCCAGGATAATTAGAACTTCTTCAACCGAGTAGACTTTCCAGCTTCCGATTTTACGACGTTAAAAAATTACTGTAACTGTTTGTAACTTGAGCTCACAATTTTCCAAGAACGTTGATATGTACATTGCCAGTTCTTGGTAAACCATTAGTTCGTTATGTTGACAACTCACATAAGTTGATATCGAGCTTTAAAAAAATACCCCTAGATGGCACGACGCAAAAATTGAAAAAAAAATGACAGTTTGCACAAAGTCACCCCTCGTTGAACAAAGTCACCTCATCTGACAGTATTTTGCCATATCTTGGGAATCATTAAACGAATTGAAACAAGTTTGCACACAATTAAAAATTTAATACATGCAAAGATGATTTCTTGCAGAAAATGAAATTTTTAACAGTTTTTTTATTATTTTATTTAATTAGGGTCGAAATATTTTTATTGTAAGACATGAAAATACTTACATATTATTAATTTACCTAATTTTTAATAAAAATACAAATAGGCAGACAAAAAAATGGTAAAAAAAAGCTTTTACCCAAATTTTAGATTTTTTATTAAAATTTGATAGTTTAAAATGACCTAGATATCCTTACAATTAAATACTTTTTCGATTCATTAAATAAAATTATAAAAGAATTTTGATCCTCTCTAGAATTCCCTTGATACAGTACGCAGAAAATGAAATTACTATTGAGGAACCTATATTTTCAACAGCTTTCTAGCCATAACTATTGTGATCATGTTTTCCAGATTGTGGCTACCCCTCCCCCTTAGTTTGATATTTAATACTCCAAATCCATTTGGAAAAAAAAGCTAGATGTATAAACAGAAAGCAAACTTTGCGTCTGTTCTTCTGACGTGAAAATCCGATCATTAGAACGAAAGTTTTGTTTAGGTAATATCTTTTATTTTGCTTACTCTACAAAACTCGAAAACTCAAAATTGCGAATTCAAAATGTAAAAGTTTTAACAAATATACAAAATCTTGGAAAGGTCTTTTAGTATGAAATTGTACCTATATACATACATATATATATATATGAAATGTATATATATATTAGTAAAACCTCCCTGAAATACCACCTCTGTGTAGCGACCTCCTTTATTTACGACTACTTTTGTGAGGTACGGAATTTTTTCCATAGGCTTTGTATTGAAGAAAACCTTTAGGAAAGACCATCTGAACCTCTCCCAGCGACCGGGCAAAACCTCTGCACCAAATGGAGAAAAGGTCAAATAAGGAAACACGAAAATATATCAAACCGAAAAGTATTAACAAAACAAATAAGTAGATTCAAATGTATTCAAAATACTTGTGAGTGACTCTTATTTAGAGAGCTCTTTTTGACGATTGCTGAAAGAGGTTGACAACCTCATGTTACAGTCAGAGTGCACTAATTAGAATGTTATCAATGATTTAGTTTAAGAGTTAAATTAGAAAAATAAGTTATTTTAAAAAAAAAAAAAACTAAGCATCTAAAATGAATCTCTCATTTTCTTAAAGTACGGTCATTTTACTGTGGAATAGAGAGTGGTCACTCCCGAGAGGCTTCACTGTGCATATATATTGTTCTTTTGCTGTTATTTTACTTGATTTCTTAAAAAATTATTGGCTCATTAAATAAAGGACCGAAGACTTCTAAATGCACAACATTATTAAATTACCGAAATATTAAATATATTTCAAAAATCATTACTAGTTCTCTAGTTATAGTATTCTAAAACTAAAACAAACTCAGCTGCGCGACAGCCCAGAGAGGGCCAAGGCCTTCTGTGCCCATCTCAGTTTTCTTGACTTTGGGGTGCAGGAGCAGATGTTCCGGTCAGGTGGTCAGCCGTACGCGGAGTCCCCAGTGTTTAGATCCCAAGCATGCTTGGTACTCATTTATCGCCCCACTGAAGGGATGAAAGACTGAGTCAACCTTGCCCGGCCCGAGGATCGAACCAGTGACCTGTGTCTCGACAGCGCGAAGCGCTACCGCTCAGCCATCGGGCGTTTATAGTATTCTAGTTACTTAAATCTTAAAAATCTCATGACCCTTCCACGGACGCTTCAACTGAAGCAAAATAGGTCTATCTCATTAACCCTTCCACGGAACCCTAGTGTTCCTAAAAACACCTTTTGTAAACCTCTAGTTCAGTGAAAATGATTTTCTCTACCCAAAATATGAAAATCATAATATATTTTATTGTTTCGTGCAGACGATTTACTTCTACAGCGTAAAAAAAGGAAAGATTTCTTACCTCGCATTTGATTTGTTAAGGGCAGGGCAGCATTGACGCTCCATTTTTAGTAGTCCAATCAAATCTAATGCTCTTCAAACGTCGTATAGTTGTTTCTTTTTCAATGAACGAATGTTCTCATTTAATCGAAATATGTCGCCAAGTTTAGTTTTCCAGTAAGACTACGACACTATTACCTTTTTGTTAATAATTCTATAATATATATCGTAAAATATAACAAGAATTAAATTTCTGCCTGGCGTGCTGAACTTTAAAAAGCTTTTATATTGTTTTGAAAGCGAAGTTGTATAACTTTAGAACAAAATAAAGCTAAACTCTATGCACTTGCAAATGATTACTTAAATCCTATACCGCAATGGTCTTTTCTTAACTTTTCTTAATTATAGTTCCTAAGTTTTAAAACACAGCTCCGAACATTAACTCAACATCCTTTAATGTTTTATTTTTCTTATTTTTATTTATCTGGATCTATGAAATTTCCATACTGTTCTAAAATAAATAATACAAATCATTTTTATTTTCTTAAAGCGAGAAAAGTGGTATTTGATCGTTAAATTTTTTAAAACTCAAACTGACTTTTCTTAAGCCTTTTTTCTTTGGGAAAAGTCACGTTATTCCATTCCAAAATATAAATAACATTAACCAATTTTCCGTAATGAGTATTTAAATCAAATTTTCGACTCATATTTTGTTTCATTTTGATAACAGAATTTTTTAAACAAGTTTCAAAGTTTTAATTCACAGCATGAAGTATTATTTTAACATTCATCAACGTTTTATTTTTATTACATCGAGTTATATGCATCAATAAAATTTCCATTACATTCTAAAACATGCACAAATCATTTTTTTATCCGTTTAAAAGCAAGAAAGTGGAAGATTTATTTAATCGCAGTATCCCTCAAAGTTTCTTTTAAGAAACAAGAAAATATCTGTATCTAGTCACAACTATGAATGAAATAAAACGATTTTTTGTGATGGGTATTTACATCATTTTTCGCACTGAATCAAAATAACGCTTATTTAATTTTATTTCATAACTTTGAAAGTTCTAACTAGTTTCTCTAAAATGAAAAACAGCGCTTCGAATATTACTTTAACATACTTCAATATTTTATGTTTTTTTTTCCGAGTGATCTGTATCTGTAAATTTCCCATAACGTTCTAAAATACACACACAAATCATTTTTATCTCCTCAAAAATAGGAAAGTGGGATATGATCATTAGATTTATTTAATCTCAGCATCACTTTTCCCCCGAAGTCTCCTTTCTTCGTGGAGAAGCCGTGCAATTTTCCTATTCAACTCTCAAGTCTCAATCGCTTGGAGGAGTGTAAGTGTTGGCGCAGGCGCGGATTCGCGTCCATTCAACTACCCTCTCTTATGCCGAAGCCTTTCGGTCCAAGCACAGAAGCCAGATCGTAATTCGGAAAGTGAGACGGCGGCACAGGCAGCCGCCAGGTAAAGAATACCATGCGGTTGCTACAAGCTATGTGAGCAACAATATAGAATTCAAACGATTGGTATAAACAGAATTGGATTTGTCCTTTTTTTGGAATACAAAAAAAAGTACGGCGATCGTTTGCAGATTTTTTCGGATATAACATTCGCAGACGAGTGTTATGTGATTCTTGGGATAAACAACCATCTGCTGAGATTTTTAGTGATTGCTTTGGAATATTGTGTTTGTGTTTAAGTGATCGTTTGCTGTCAGTTAATAAGCAGACGATATTAAAGCGCATGCGGCTTAATAAAGCTGATCAATAATATAGTTCAAAAACAGCTGTTGAATTGGCATCCATAAAACACGTGCTTCTAAAAAGCTTTGAATGAATTACGCAATCCCCTCGCCATTGCATTTCGGGGATGAAACAATTCGCTGTTTCTACTGAATACACCACTGAACAGAAAACAACTCAACTCTGAAATGAAAGTTACTTTTGTTTTGAATTTGTATGTGGAGTCGAAATCTTATGGTTCATTAGATAATTTCCAGTTACATAAATTTAAAATTAAACAGAATCCTAACGTTCTCCCTAGCGGTAGTATTTTCAATTCATCTTTTGATTTTTGCCAGGTGAATTTATTATAGAGAATTTCTCTATTTATTTAACAAAATATACTCTTTCAATTTGTTCTTTTTGTTTATTCATCTAATATTTCAATTTGTTTAAAGGTTGCTTAAAAGAAATCAAAGTTTCTTTTTTCTATGCTTGATCTTGCAGTATCGAAATATTTACATTTTATTATCTTATGCATTCCAAAATCTGATCAAATTTACCATTTCAGATTTTGTATACAAGCAAATTGTTTACATATGAAAATTATAAACGTTAAAAATGTTCATTGGTAACATTTTTATGCTTGCACGAGAGAATTTAAATAATTGATTATTGTTTTTATTTCGTTTTCTTTTAAAACAAAATTTACTCGCTTTTCCAGTTCTATTTGCTAATGGTATAGACAATAAAGAGTCTGATCTAGCTTTGTTCAATATATTTCAAATTTAAAATATTCGTAGTTATCTTATTCGAAGCTTTTCTAAGCGTTATATCTTTTTCAATGTAAATTTTATGTTTACATTGATTATTTCCTTTAAAGCTTGAATTTCAGAATGCTTCGTAGTTTAAGATATTGTCGCTTAACATTCAAATATGCTCATACTTTTGAACTTTTGCTTATTAAATCCTCTCATATAAAAATCTGAAGAAATTTAATGTTTTCCTCAAGTAGAGATCTTGTTCGTAGTTTCGTTGATACATTCCTTGATCAGTAGGGCGAATTTTATCTTTAGAGATACAACAATATTGATACGTTTAAAAACAAGCAAATTATTTATATATCAGAACCGAACTTGCAAGGTTTTTCTAGAAACTCTATTTACTGCCATAGAAACATATATTTACTAACAAGTTAAGACTAACAATTAATCAAAACATATCTATTAAATAGAAAGTTGCCAACTTTTAGTCCATCCTAAAAGGTTTCCAATTTAAGCATATCAACTAGTTCATATAGTAAATATTTCCTAAGGATATCCTAAGGATATCGATATCCTTAGGAGTCTATTTTTGAGATTAAAGCTAACAGCAATACAACTAGTTAAGAGCAATACATATATACATACAGAGTATAAACTATTTTAAAGGTTATATTATTCACCAGTAAAGAGAACATTTTGATATGAAAACTAAAATGGAAATTTATAAAAAAGCAATATCTTGCAGAATCTTACTTTTAGAAGATTTTTAAACAATGTTTTGGAATGCTAGATATTGTAAGTATCACCATTGTTAATCTTTACAAGTCTGTACCAGATCAAAGATCGTACGAGCTTAAGGATTTATTAGGATTGGTTGAAGAAATCGGTGGTTAACTGTAAAAATTTTCTATAAGAAAAAAATAGAAAACTATTTCCAAAGAGTTTATTGAAGACATGTGTACAATTTTCTCCACACGGAATTGACATATACTTTGAAATTTTCTTCCTAACATACTTTTAACTCATTTTCACATAGTCATTTATTTAACTTCGATTCTTCTAAGAAAAACTGATTGAAAAAAATTATTTAATCTATGATTAATACTTTCTAACTCCTATCAGGGCACTATCTATATTTTTGCAAAATAAAAATACTTCTCAATTTATCTCATCTCTGTAGCTATGGAATATTCAAATTAATACTAGATTAACTGCTTACATTGTTTATTCCAAAGCACTTATTGATTTTCAACTGAAGCATATATGAAATAGTCACTTTTTAATTTGTACTTGTAGAACATCCAAATTAATGATAGATTATTTGTTCATTTCATGTGCATAGATTGATTTTCAACTGAAGTAAATGTGAAATCGTGAATTGGAATTGTCCAATTTCAAATCGACATGGATAACTCAGAGCCTGGACCAAGCAATGCACAAGTCCCTGTTATCAAACAGGATGTTGTCACCTCGGAGGAAGAGAGTGGTTCCATTCCCTATGTCGATAGTCCGGAATCTCCTCCCGGAGTTCCTGGAATAAATATCAGGAAAGCTAGTATCGCAGCTCAACAACAACTCCATGATGGTATAATCCTGTTGATTACTAGCGACTCGGAGAGTCAGCGGTCACCGAACGGCTCAATCGCTGCTTCTCAACATCCACTGTCAGAGTTTTACTTGTTACCTCTCCCTCCCGATGCTTCGGGGAACAGAAGATATTCCCTACAGGATCGTTCGGGAAAAGACCATCACCATCACCCTGAAAGAAAAGCTTCCTGCCCAGATACAGAGCTACATGTCAGTCCTGATAGGAGCAGGAGGGGCAGTTCCTGCAGCAATCGCAAATCAGATTTGGACATCAGCAAAGATCGCTTGACTCCAACTTCTTTTTCCAGCAGGCGTTCCAGCAACGCGAGCGCATGCCATTCCAGAAGATCCTCCAACTGCAGCACGGGTGGTGGTCACCACAGGAGGAGGTCGAGCAACTGCACCAGCTGCAGTCGGAGATCCAGCAACAGTAGTGTCAGCCACAGTAGGAGATCTAGCTCTGCTAGTCACAGATCGAGTCCTCCCAGTCACGGCAGTCGCAGATCCAGCAACTGCAGTCGGAGGTCGTCTCACTTTGACTCGGACGAAGAGTCTTTTCTTCACCACCATCACCACCACAGTCACAGGGGATCCAGAACCAGTTTGGATCCCCTGCACCGAGGCTCAGCGGCCTCAGTCGAGATTGGTGGTTTTCGCCGTGGCTCACACCTGCCTCTTTCTTACGAGGAGAAAGGGGAACTGGATGAAAGAGAAGAGCTGGAGATGGGTGGCATACCGCCCAGGCACAGGCGGATTATCATCATGATCATCGGATCTGTTTCCATTTTCATCTTAGTCATGTCTGTTGTACTCATTGCTGTGTCCTTGACCCTCTCACCAACAATAGATGATTTAGGTGAGTCTTTACTATTTATTTACTTTAATATGGTTTTTCGAAGCTAAATAAAAAAAAGCCACAGTTTAGGTGCATTACACTCAAAACAAAGGGATGATATTAAACTATATATATATCATTTGACAGAGAAAATTATCTGGGCTTAAGAACTGACAAATAGCCTAAAGATTTTAAAAAATATTAATTTTTTTTAAAAAAAATCGCCAATTTGGCGACATTTTTCACCTAGATGAAAATTATCAAAATCCCTGGCTTGTTCTCAAGTGTTAGCAAATTTTTATGAAGTCAGTTAATGCAGCATGGGAATAAGTTTTTAAATATTAAAAAAAATTAGACCAGGTTTTCATTTCATGCTCACCAAATTGTGGCTTTTCTCCGCATTGACTTTTCGTGCCATTTTCAGAATAAGCATAGATAGCACCTGTATAGATAGGCTAAACTTGACGTAACAGTCAGAACAACTGTTGCAAACTCCTTATCAGTTATGATAATAGCATGTTATTCGCAAAAAAGTATCAGTTCATATGAAGACGAACCTTCGAAAATCATTCTAATATTATAATTTACCTTATTAACCATATTGGATCTAATTTGATATTGCTCAATTATTTTATAACGGAATACTCATTCATTTATTGGTTCTGTATATTTTATGCAACTATGATAAAAGGTAGTTTTAGTTGTTGTAAATTGTATGATGTACTCATGCAAAATTTTACAACCAAAAAAAAAATACTTTGAAGGAAGAAAGTATGGTCGTTAATGGCATGAAACTAAGTTATACGATTTTAATTATTGAGAGTTATGAGTAAAAACATACATATATTAGCAATTGTGTTTTTATTTTTCTGATACGAATACTGTTTCGAATGAAACTAGGTTTGCTAAGTTAGTTCCTGATAGTAAAAAAGAACATACTAACAATTGTACAATTTTTCAGATACAGAAGTAGTTTAGCATGTACATTGGTTTACTAAGTTAGTTAGTGATAAAATGTGAATGTTAATTAATGGTATAGCATGGTTTGGAGTTAATGTTAGTTATAATGCCATAGCATTAGTTGATTGCCGAACGTTAATCGCGAATATGTTTTATCGTTTGTCTGATATTCTGTGCAGAGGGATTTAGTTAGATGGAACGTTCGACTGTTTATAATGATCGTTCGTTTACACAACAGGAAATTAAATCTTCGTCTATATCATAAATGAAAACAGTAGCTCTTTACGTTTATTATACCACGCTGAATTATAAAACGATAAAGAAAATATCTGCATCATTTCTGCTTTGAAAATATAGGCAGTCTTTAAAAATTTGCGATTATATTGAACAAACCAGGTCCCTGGATAAATAATAAAGGAAATTTTCTTGAAGTTATTATTTTTCGGTCTTCTCGATTCTCATCAAATAATCATGTGAGATACACGCCCAGAAATAAATACTTCTTTAAATAAACATTAATAAATATTGCTTTATTTTTTCACAAAGGGTGATTGATGATTTTCGTGTTCAATTTTGTGCTTATAGAGATCAATTCAGCAAAGAAAAACTCATTTCATTAATTATACATTTTCTGGTGTTATCAGGAAGAAATGGATCCGGTGTTATCAGGAAGGTTTAGATAACAATAGGGTACAAATTTTCTGTGGCATTAATGCAAGTATTTAATTTCATCTAATTCGAGTGAGTCAAAATTAGTTTTGTTCGGAAAGCTATACATTTTTTTCAAAATGATATTTTAAATATAGTTTATTTTTTAACTGAATGTACAAGTTTATAAAGAACGTGTAGGCTTATGTACGTACATATACATGTACGTCTGATCTTTTGAGAATAGCACTAAAAACAAAAAGCATGATTTTATCATATCACATCACATATTTAAAGGTATTGTTGCCTTCTTTTCACCACTCTCTAAGTAGCAAAGAAGTGGGGGAACTTAATTCTAAATAATAAAAATAATAATTCTGAACAATAAAACTAATTCTGAAAATATAATTCTGAATAGGAATATAAAGTTGAAATTTTTAAAAACTATGATTGTAGGAAGAAACTGATTGTATATTTGACGTCAGCCCAACGAAAACACTTAACATGCTTTCAAGAATTTCATACAACAGGAAAAATATGTTCCCATGTGTAATCTCATAATGAACAAATTTTAAATTTTTTTTCCTTACATTTAAAGAACAATAGATAAGACAAATAATTATATAAGCATTGTATATGTCTTTATAACTGGCTGCGATCAAAGATTTGCAAAGTATTATTCCTTTTCACTTATGTCATTTTGTAGATCTAAAAAACAGAAACTGGATCGTTTGTGACAATCTTTCATTTCTTCCATTCGAAAATTAAAATAAACAATGATAAGGAAAATCAAATAATAGCTTTAGTGTATTTTTGTAATTATCATGAAATTTGCGATTGCATTCAAATGCAATTGCTAAGACTGATATATCGGGAAATTTGCCAATGTTTTTAACACTTTGAATCTTTATATAGTTATTAGTCTTATATTTATTCCTATACTCCAGTGAGTGAGTTCGAAGTTTCTTATGGTTATTTTCGTGCTCAATTAAGTAATCAGTAGCTGGTTTTTTCATTACATGTTTTCGCTGCTCAATTGCCCTTCCTAGAAGAAAAAGGCATAATGATATTGATATGCCATCAATCGGCACAATTTTTTCATTAAACTAGGAATCTGCGCCTCTTGATTGCCATGCTCACCAACCCCCATAATTGTTTTTCATTCACCTTTATTTTCACAAAATCATGGAACATTTTGTTGTTTTCAAAACGTAGAATTACTGTAGCTTTGAGTAAGAAAATTTTGTCAATACGTAACGAAATAGATGATTACTTAGAATTATAAAATAAAGCTTCACTCTAAATGTTAAGATTTATATCTGGTAACTAGTAATCTCCTCACCCTTAATTTGGTACTTTTGATTAACAGCAACTCGAGAGCGAGCTTATACAATATAAAAATAATGACTCTGTGTCGGGAAAAAAAATTTCTGCAACAATTGATAAATAGTAAATGTTTAAAAAAAAGAGTATCTCAAAAAAATTCACGAAAAAGCACTTAAAATTTTAATAGTTTTTGAATAAATTAGAATTTCGGGACAAAATTTACTTTAAATACGCAAATACAAATGGTTTTTTCAGCAAGTCAAATTTCAACTCAATAGTTGCATTTCAGCGGGCTACACATCGATCAAAAGCGATACTTTTCCGACTATAAATTCACAAACTAAGTGCCGATTATTTCGTTGTATTCCTTGTATTGTTTTCTAAATACTTTAGTGATTTCAAATTTCTAAGTCTTATAGATTTTGTGCAGTAAGGCAAAATGTTACGTAGAAAAAAGAAGATGCAAGAAAAACGTGCAAATTAAGCACATTTCACGCAGACATGCACACACACATATATATACACATAATATGAAAAAGAAAAGAAATTTTATATTAAAATTTCAAACAAATATGATAATCTCATCTCTACAAGTTTGTGACCGTATGGTATTTTTTCCCAACAAGTTCATCAATTAATAATACTTATAATATACTTATACTATATAATATAATAATACTTATATATATATAT